TTGGTGGGGCTGAAATCTGAATATGAACCAGTGCGGGCTCAGATACTAGGAGGGTCAGCTCTCCCTTCCTTAGAAGAGGTGTTTGCTCGACTTAGTAGGATTTCCATTGGATCTACCGAGAACCCTAATGTTTCTGATAGATCAGCCTTTGCGGTATCCAGAGGTCGTGGTGTTAGAGGTGGAGCTCAGGGAGCTCAGTCTGGCCGTAGTGGCAGCAATGGACCGGCATATGGCCAGAGTGGTGGTAGTGGACCTACATATAACTGTGGTGGTGGTCGTACTGGAGGTCGAGATTCAGGGAGAGACCGTGGCAGTGGACGTAATTCGGGTCCGAGGAGGTGTACACACTATAGTATGGATGGACATACCATTAATTATTGCTATGACTTGCATGGTCCACCCTCAACTTGGGCCAATCATGCCGTGACTAGTGACAGTAACTTCAAACAGGAGAGTCATTCAGCTGATCAGATACCTTCTACATCCATAGATGTTACTAGGAAGGAGATGATGAGTGTTCCCCATGATGAGTATGAGAGGTTTGTTCAGGCCACATCTCAGCAGAACACGGCCACTCTCGCACACTCAGGTATGGCTTATTTGGCATCCACACCCAATCCCTGGATTATTGATTCTGGAGCCTCCGATCACATGATTGGAATTCCAGGTGTGTTTTCTTCCCTCTCTCATTACCCAACATCACAATCTGTTACCCTTGCTAATGGTTCCACATCTTCCATTTGTGGTGTTGGTAATGTTAACATGGATCCTGTATCCTTATCCTCAGTTTTGTATGTCCCTAAATTTCCTTTTAATCTTATGTCAGTTAGTAAATTGACCAAGTCTCTTAATTGCTCCATTACCTTTTACCCCTCTTCGTGTGTTTTTCAGGATCTCAAGGGGATGAAGATTGGTGGAGGGCATGAAGCTGGTGGATTGTATTATCTTGATGGTGGTGGAAGTACGTCAACAGCTCTCCAATCGTCTCTTTCTCCTCTCCAGTGGCACTGTAGATTTGGTCATCCTTCACTGAAAGTTTTAAAGTCTTTGGTTCCTTCATTGAGTCATCTGTCTGTTTTGGATTGTGAGTCGTGTCAGTTGGGGAAACATCATCGTGTTCCCTTTAGTCCTAGAGTTGATAATCGTATGTCGAGTCCTTTTTCTTTGGTTCATTCAGATGTTTAGGGTCCTTATAAAGTAATGTCATACAATGGATATAAATATTTTGTCATTTTTGTTGATGATTATTCAAGGATGATGTGGCTCTATTTAATGAAAGAAAGGAGTGAATTGTTTACCATTTTCCAAAAATTTTATGCTGAGATTCACAACCAATTTGGTGTTCACATTAAAATTTTTCGTTCCGATAATGGTTGTGAATATTTCTCTTCATCATTTCAAGAATACCTAGACCAACATGGCGTTATCCATCAAACTTCGTGTACCTACACCCCACAACAAAACGGGGTGGCTGAGAGAAAGAACCGTCATCTTTTGAAAACAGCTCGATCCCTCATGCATCACATGAATGTCCCCAAATCTTTTTGGAGTGATGCAGTGCTTACTTCTTGCTTCTTGATTAATCGGATGCCCACGTCTATCCTTGATGGTCATTCTCCATTCACCACATTGTTTCCTACCTTGTCTCCGTTTTCTCTTTCTCCTTGGGTTTTTAGGTGTGTTTGCTTCATTCATAATCTGGGGCCAGGAAAGGACAAGTTAGATGCACGATCTATTAAGTGCATCTTCCTTGGCTATTCCCGAACTCAGAAAGGGTATAAGTGTTATCATCCCAGCTCTCGACGTTCCTTTGTGTGTGTTGATGTTACCTTCTTTGAGTCTACTCCATTTTTCTTGGGGTTCGGTGATGTTTCTTCCTCTTCATCACCTCCTCCCCTTACTCTTCCAGTTGTGGATTTTGTTCCTCTTGTTCCAACTATGACCAAGTCCTTACCTCCGGTGCCACCACCTATCCATCACGTGTATACACATCGCCCACATGTACCAGCTCCTCCTCCAGTTCCATCATCGTCGATAGATCCAGCAATTGTTCCCACACCAGCCCCAACCCCAGTATCTGATCTTGATCTTCCCATTGCCTTGCAGAAAGGTAAACGCAGTTGTACCCTTCATCCTATTTCTAATTATGTTTCACTGACTCACCTTTTCGCTTCCCATCGCCTGTTTATCTCTTTGTTATCCTCTGTTGTTATCCCTAAGGATGTTCAGGAAGCCCTTGCCTCTCCAGGATGGTGTTGTGCGATGGAAGAAGAACTCTCAGCTCTGGCCCATAATCATACATGGGAACTCACCACTCTTCTCCTAGTAAACAGGCTGTTGGTTGTAAATGGGTTTATACGATTAAGTATTTACCTGATGGTAGTGTAGAGCGGCTGAAAGCTAGACTGGTTGCCAAAGGGTATTCCCAAACCTATGGTATTGATTACATAGGGACTTTCTCCCCAGTTGCTAAGATTGGTTCAGTTCGTGTTGTGGTTTCTCTTACTGTGATGTATGATTAGCCTCTCTATTAGCTTGATATCAAGAATGCCTTCTTGCATGGTGATCTGCTCGAGGAGGTCTATATGGAGTAACCACCAAGATTTGTTGCTCAGGGGGAGGATGGTAAGGTGTGCTGACTAATGAAGGCCATTTATGGGCTTAAACAGTCTCCTCGAGCATGGTTTGGCAGATTTAGTGAGGTGGTAAAGAAGTTTGGTATGAAACAGTGCCAAGTTGACCATTCAGTCTTCAGTCATGACTCTCACGCAGGGAAGATCCTATTGGTGGTGTATGTAGATGATATTGTCACTACCGGAAATGATAAAATGGGCATTGATAGATTGAAGACTTTTCTGCAAGAACATTTTCAAACAAAGGACCTTGGTAAATTGAAGTATTTCTTGGGGATAGAAATAGCAAGGTCTAAGCATGGTATTAACTTGTGTCAGAAGAAATATGTTCTTGATTTGCTTGAAGAAACAGGTTTGTTAGGTGCTAAACCAGCTGAAACACCTATGGAAACAAACACTAAGCTGAGCAGTGATATGGGTGAAGTGTTTGAAGACCCTAGTAGATACTGGCGGCTGGTAGGTAAACTGAACTACCTAACCATCACTCAGCCAAACATTTCATTCACAGTTAGTGTGGTAAGTCAGTTCATGCAGAAACCTCTGGTTCCACATTGGGTTGCGGCTCTAAGGATTGTAAGGTATTTAAAGGGGTCTCCTAGTCGTAATTTGATATACAGAAGTGGTGGAAAACTTGAATTTGAAGAATATACTGATGCTGATTGGGCCGGTTCTGTATCTGATAGAAGATCTACCACAGGCTATTGCACTTTTCTTGGGGGTAATCTGGTGACATGGAAAAGCAAGAAGCAAACAGTTGTGGCAAGAAGCAGTGCAGAGGCAGAATATAGAGCTATGGCACATACTACTTGTGAATTAGTGTGGCTAAGGAACCTTCTATAGAAGATGGGATACACTGTTGATACTCCGATGAAGCTCTACTGTGACAATCAGGCTGCAATTAATATTTCCTCTAATCCAGTGTTTCATGAGAGAACCAAGCACATAGAGGTTGACTGTCACTTTGTTAGAGAGGTGCCGAGTGGAGTGATAGACATTGCATATGTCAACACAGGGAACCAGTGGGCAGATTTGTTTACTAAAGGATTGAGTCGGGGTAGAGTGGACTACATATGTAACAAGCTGGGATTATATGATATATACTCTCCAGCTTGAGGGGGAGTGTTAGTGTCGAGTATGTAGGGGTATTTATCTTTGTACTTATGGTTAGGTGCTGATGTGTAAGTTTATGTTAGATCTCCCTAACTTAAGTAGGGGCACATGTGACTTTTCCACAATATTTTTAGTAATATAAAACAGATCCAGCCGAATGGGAGGGTTGACTTTTCTCTCATTCAAACCAGACCTTTTCCTCCTTGTCCTCTCTTCTACTCTTCTCCTTTCTCTCTTTCTCTTTCTCTCTCTCTTCTCTCTTTTCCTTGACTGTTACCAATCTAACAGGCAGGCTGAACTCTAATACATGGCATATTTCCATTTCCATGGGTACCAACATGGCAACACATAAAATTACTAGAATCAACCAAGGTTCAAAATTTCAATATGTATCAGGCCATATCGGCCGATACGTATCGTATCGGGTCCAGGGGATGTTTCGGGATTTCGACCGGTTCAGGGGGTGGACGGACCTTAAACCGGCCTCTCTGAACCAGATTTGATAAAAAATAAAAAAAAAAAGATATCGATACTGCCCGATACGCCTCTACTAGCGTATTGGGCATATCGATATTTTGAACCTTGGAATCAACATGTTCATCAATGAACACTATCAGTGCTACATGGAATACTAGAGATAGTATTATGATGTAAGTTGGTGACAATATTTTAGATATGTTTTGTAGTAGTGTCACTGCCCACCCAACAGACATGATTACCACTTTGAGCCAGCTCAAAATTCTTTTCAAACTTGAAGTTAAATCGTAGTTTCTATTGTATAATAAATTATTTGGTTGAACTATTAGAATCATTTACACTTTCTATGAGTTTAAATTTTTCTTGAACTCACTCGATCATGTAGTTTTGACTATATCATGATTTGGAACAAGGTCATAATTTAAAATAGTCTACCTATGCATTTTTTTATTATTGCATAAAAAAGAATTCTATATTTTGCACATTTTACAAAGTTTGCACCATGTCTATAATTTTTACAATATTTCCATATGATGTTTCCAACATATTTACTATATTTAGGTGACTGACACTTTCATTGGTATCAACATTTTAAACCTTGAATGGAAGTATTGATGCTATCAAGAAAATGATTGGAGAAGTCTTAGTTTAACAGCATATACCTGGACAAATGAAAATGAAACAAGCCGAGAATTCCCAAGCCATCTTAATCCTCTAATAGTACTATTATGAACAGAAAAGCTCGCTGCTACAGCATTGGCAGAAACATCAATGACCTCGATTGTCCCACTTTGAGTTCCTAAAGCGATCAGTGGTACAGCTACAGCAGGATTGTTACCACCACCTTCACAAAATCATTCAATTTAAAGGCTAACAGAAATCTGTCGTAAACATAAGATGAATAGAATACAGAAGCTACATATACTGGACTTACGAGCCAAGGTAGCTGTTAAAGAAGGGGAAGGTACAGCTAGCGTTGTGACTGTTGAAGAAAGAAGATGAAGCTGGCCAACTAAGTCGATCTGTAACAAGTGAATTAAAAACAGAAACAAGCAACTTAAAAATATAGAATTGCAAGTCAGTAGATAGTTCATTACCACAAGAATTTCCTCATCCAACAACAAAAACAGCAAAAACTGTTAAAAATAGTAGTATAAACATGGTGATAAAATTTGTGGACCAGTTGAAAACCAAGTGATATGAAAAAAGGGTGCAGAAACATCACTACTTGTATGCAATCTTGACCAGGAGGAGGAAGAACACAAAAACTATAAAAAAATGAGTGTTTCAAAAACCAAAAATAACCATAAAATCAATGAAAACAAAAATCTGATCAAACTTGTAGTCCTGTACTCAGTCCTCACCACTATACTGGTGATCATAGCCATTAATACATAAAAGATCAAATTTCGGAATATAAAAGAGAAAAAAATAAATAAAGCTCTAGCTGGGGATAGTTGAAACTTGAAAGTTAAATGTTAATTACACATAGTAGGTTTGGGCCTCGCAAGAAAGAGCCCAAGTTATGCACTAGAGGCTTCTGCATTGTTTGCATAATCAACATCCAAAGGAGCCATTATGTTGGACTGACAAATTAGGGGTAATCATGGGCCATGCTGGTCCAGGCTTTCGGCCTATGACTTCAAATATAAAATATTATACACCTGGGCTTAGCTTTTGCCAAAATTTGAATGGGCCCAGACCAAAGCCCAAGCCTAAAGAAGCCCAGCCCATGAAGAGGTCTACACACACAGACACATGTATTATATTGCGGGCCAGGCCTGGCCCAGAAATTTCTGGGCCTGATGCAGGCCCATGCTGAGTCTGGACACAAAATCTAGGCCCAAGCCTGGAAATTTCTGGGCCGGGCTAGAAATGATCACCCTTGGTACAAATAACAGCCAATCCTAGCTTCATTACTTTGAAGAGAGATTTAGACCTGACAAATAAGATTGGATCCAGTAGATCTCTTAGGGCTATGTCTGTATCCAACTGCAAATATAGCACGCATTCTGCATAGGGATGTCAACAGGTTGGTTTCAGTATGGTGATGCAGGCCCAGGCTGGGTCTGGACACAAAAAACAGTCAATCCTAGCTTCATTACTTTAGAGAAAGATCTGGAGCTGATAAAAAAGATGGGACCCAGTAGGTCCCTTAGGTCTATGTCCGGATCAAACTGCAAAGATAGGCATGCATTCTGTATAGGGATGTCAAGTATGGGTTTGGCTCAACTCAAACCTAATGCAAAGTAACTCCAACTTGAACGTTACCTGAACTGACTAAATGAAGAGAGGGTACTGAACCTGACCCAAGTGTATAATACAAATATATTACACCTATACTCAACCAAGTGTATAATACAAATATCTCAATGCTGCAATGTCATAGGGTCGGGTTTAGCATGGGTTCACCTCATCCCAAATCCAACCAAAAAAACCGATAAAGGATGACCCAACCCTAAGCTGATAGGGTCAAGTAAATGTGGGTTTTACCACTTAACCCAAACCACTGACATCCCTAATTCTGTAGTTCTCCAAGTTGTGGCAAAGCACATAATTTTGGGAGACCAATTCTATTTCTGCACCCGCAAATCCACCAATCCAAATGCAAACCAATAAGTTTCATATTGACTTCCCTTTATGTTAAAGCTCATGAGTTGAAGTAGTGAGAAATGATTTGGGAGATCATGGATTGAAGTATTAAATACCACTTTAATACTCAAGTTGTTAAAAGAATGAATTATGAAGAGCTAGAAGACTAGAAACCCACATATTATCAGCTTCAACAATGTGTTTTTTTTATCGGCAGAAAAGTGATTTTATAAATATTTGGAATGGAGAAATGATAAGTATAACTTTTTTAACTCGCTTTGCTATTCCAAATTACATGGATGCCCAAAACAGTTCTTGCCTCATAGCCCCTTGTTTAGCTAGGGAGTCAGCTAAACTGTTTGCACACCTTCTAACCCATTTAAATTCAACCACTATTTCTTTTGCAATCGTTTCCACTTCCCTTAGAATATACTTTGGGGACCAAGGAATATGCCTATTGAATTTAGCCCAGGATAATGACTACTTGTGAGTCTCCTTCCACCTCAATCATCCTAAACCTCAATTGCTTAGCTAACCTGAGGCCTTGCAATAAAGCCATCAGTTCAGCCTTCAAAGAATTTCTGAAGCCAATTGGTCCTGAGAAGATAGCCAATATCCTTCTCTCTGAATTTCTCTATTCCAGCCACACCCGGGTTACCAAGAGAGCTCCCATCAAAGTTCAATTTAAATCTGAGGCCAATCAACCTAAGGATTTCCAACCCATTAGCCTGGTGACCAGTACCTATAAAATTTTAGCCAAAGTCCTGTCTTTGAGGCTTAAAGAAATCCTCCCCTCTCATAAGCCAGTTCCAAGGAGCCTTCGTCCAAGGGAAACAAATTATGAATCAAATCCTGATAGCTAATGAATGTGTAGAAGAAATGAAGAGATCTAGGAAGGAAGGATTTGTATGCAGGTTGGATTTAGAAAAGGCTTATGACTTGGTGGATTGGAACTTCCTACTAGAAGTAATGCAGCAAAGGGAATTTGGGGAGAGATGGTGTAATTGGGTATTTAGTTGTGTTCGGTCTTGTCATTTTTCCATCCTTCTTAATGGAGTGGTGAAAGATTTCTTTCCAGCCTGTAGAGGTTTAAGGCAAGGAGATCCCCTCTCTCCTTTTCTATTTACCCTAGTGGCGGATGTTTTTAGTAGGCTACTCTCTAAGGCAGATGGGGAAGATGAAGGGTTGGAGAGTGGGTAGAAACAGGGTCTTGGTGTCTCATCTCCAATTTGCAGACGATATCATAATTTTTTGTGAAGGGGGAGACCCTAGGAGTGTGAGGAAGCTAAAAGAACTGGTTCAAAGGTTCGAAAAGGTGTCCAATCTGAAAATCAACTTGGACAAAAGTTGTGTAGCAAGGATTAATATGGAAGAGAGTGTCTTAAGTTTGGTCACGGAGTGCTTAGAGTGTAAAATTACCCCTTGGCTTTTGACCTATTTAGGACCTACCCTAGGAGCCAACCCTAAGGAGAGTAGATTCTGGATCTCAGTTGTAGAAAGATGTAGTAAGAGATTGGCCACCTGGAAAAAGAGTTAACATCTCTTTGGGAGGGAGGATTACCTTGATAAGATCTACTTTGGCTAACTTACCTATCTACTTCCTCTCCGTTTTTAGGACCCCTCCAAGGGAAGAAAAGAAGTTAGAAAAGATTATGAGGGATTTCCTTTGGGAACTAGGAGAGACAAGAAAAGACCACGTAATCAATTGGAGTGTTGTGTGTAAAAGTAAGGAAGAGGATGGACTAGGTCTTGGGAATTTGAGAAAGAAAAATACAACTCTTCTAGGAAAATGGTTATGGAGGTGGCCACTGGAGCGGGAACATTTGTGGACTGAAGTAGTGGATAGTATTCATGGGAGATTGGAAAGCGGCTGGGATGTTGGTGTATCACATCGGACTACTTTGGCAACACCTTGGAAAGCAATCCACAATGTGCTTCCTCAGTTCCTCAATTTTATCAGGTATGATGTTTGTTCAGGAAACCTAATCCGTTTTTGGGAAGATGTTTGGCTTGACGACCGGTCCCTAAAGGACCTGTTTCCTTCTTTATACTCCATTTCCTTACACAAAAATAAGGTGATTTCGAGCTTTGTAGTCCTTTCTACTTCACCTTTGAATCTTAACTGGGATTTTGGGTTTCGAAGGGGGCTGAGGGATGAAGAAGCCTCTTGTTTGGCAGAGCTTCTCTCACGTTTGGATATTGTTTGCTTTGAATCCTCTAAACCAGACAGGAGAGTTTGGTCACCAAATCCTAAGGTCTCTTCTCTTGTGCCTCTTTCTTTAAATCTCTTTGCCAGCCCTCTTCCTCTCTGTTGTTTCCCTAGAAGGAAGTTTGATTTCAGCTGATCCCCCCTAAAATCAAGGCTTTCTGTTGGGAAGTGGATATGGGAAAATCAACACTCTTGACTATTTGCAAAAGAAAAGGCCGTTTCTGTATTTCCCCAAATTGGTGCACTATGTGTAAATCTGATGGTGAATCTTGTTTTCACTTATTTATTTCATGTTCTTTTACTGCAGAAATTTGGGAGTGGATTTTCTCTTTATTTGGATGCAAGTGAAATATGCCAACGGAGATTAAATTGTTGTTTGATCCATCTACATTTACTTGGCCGAAGAAAAGGGGAAGGATGATGTAGAGATGTGCTAGAGCAGTAGTGGTTTGGACATTGTGGGAAGAAAGAAATGCCATAATCTTCCAAGAGAAGGAGAGAAATAAGCAGCAAATTATGGACTGTGTTTTGGCTAGAACTATACATTGGCTACAAACGGTGGATCTGTTTAAAAGTTTCTCCTTTGATGACATGTGGGGGAATTTGTCTGCAGTAGCTTCTAGTTCATTGCAAAAGACTAAGCTACGATTGACTTGGACGCCACCCATGGAAGGATTCATGAAGCTGAATTTTGATGAGAGTAGTTGAGGCAATCCGGGACTTTCTAGAATTGGAGGAACCATCAGAGACAAGGATGGGAATCTGAGAGCACTCTACTCAGGAGCAATGGGAATTGGAGACTCTATAAGGGCAGAACTATATGCAGTCCTACAAGGTGTACAGATTGCAAGGGAAATAGGGGTGGAGTGCTTGGTGATAGAGGGGGACTCTAAGGTGGTGATGGGTTGGCTTAGAGATTCAGATTCAGTGATATGGTGCTACAGAAATGAATTGAAGAAATTCAAATGGGAGACACAACATATGAATTTAGTCATACAATGGGTGGGAAGGGAGAACTCATTTGCTGATTGCTTAGCCAAACAAGGAGTAACTGGGGATCAGTTGTATTGGGCCCAATTGTAAATTTGTGACGGTTCTTTTCTTTTAAAGGGTGAGGCTGCACCTCACGCTTCCCATTGGGATGCTTGTAACAGTTTTTATTATACCCATAATGAACTTTTAATGAAATTTTATTTATCAAAAAAAAATCAGCTTCAACAATGTTCATGTTACACATGTTAGATATTTCTACTCATTCCCCCTTAAATACCAAAAGAGAAAGACATGGAAGTAAGACGCAAAACTGATCTAGAAAAGAGTTTCTTTACCAACCTTAAAAGACAAATCTCCAACGGTATGAGTTGAGTTGCACGTGTGACCAGAACTACTTTGTGCAGACTCTGATTCCTTATTTGCATCTGATACAGGTTCATGGATGGAAGTATCTAGTCTGTTAGTATGTATTTCTTCAACTCTCACTTCACCAGCATCAATAAGCCCTGGATTCATGATAGGCTTCTGAGCATCTCTAGCCCCTTCAGCAGTCAGAAGCCAGTTCCATATTTTCCCATCATCAGTGATGGATAACAAATGTGCCATAAAATTGAGAATAGACTTGCTACAACGATCTAAATGGGTGTCATAATCCCAAAAAGGTGAAGTGTGAGGTGAATTAGAATAGAGATCAACAACATTTTGTAGTGTTGACACTGATTGACAGCGAATGACGGCAAGAACAATGGGAGAAGGAACCGATGTGCCAATTGAGGGCATTAGTTCTTCCACCACACACATTGTATATGCCTGTTCTCCCCTGCAACAAGAAGCAAATAAGTATACCCTGAGTCCAGGGAAGGAAAAGGCATTAAAAATATGCCAGTGCCTCGATATGTTTTTTAAAAGGAAAAAGGATGCACAAAAGAATAAATTAATCATACTATATCTCCAATTTAGGAAAAATGCAACCTCATTTAAATATTATCATTAAAATTCTATACAACATATAGAACAGGTACTCTAGTTATTAAATACCAAAATAGTTTCTCAGAAATAGAGTTGCAATGCTGCATATATTCACCTTTGAGATTTAAAAAACCATGTATTTTAAGCAAGCACCATGAAAGTGATGCAATGTCTTTAGAAGAAGATCTACAAAGATAAAAGGTTATATGGAAACAAAAAAACAAAAAAAAAAGTTAAAATTCTGGCTGTACTTAACATGTAACCACGCTTTTCCATAGGTTAGAGAGCCCTGCGAAAAAACAAAGCTAATGAAAACTGAAAATTAGCTCGTTGGGCAATCCAGGAAGAGCAGGCATAGGGGGAGTATTTAGATACAACTGAAGAGTGGTAGTGACCTTGTTTTCAGGACCAATTGGCTTTGGAGACTTGGTTCATGCTGAAATATTGGCTCTTACAAGGAATAAGATTTGCAGTACAGCTTGGAGTTAGGGAATTGGAAGTTGAAGGAGATTCACAATTAGTCATTTCATGGACCAAGAAAATCAATTCACTCCCTTGGAAATATAGACATGATTTCAGGGAAATTGATGGGACCATGTTTTCAAAAGAGGGGATTTTGCAAATCTTGAAAGCAAGGGGCTGAATGGATCTGAGTACAGTTCCCCTAATAGTGAAGCATAAGGATGGAGTTTGCACCAGTAAGGAGATGGAGAAGAGTTCTGAAGATTGAGGCAAAAAAGTTTGTCTTGGAAGAAGTTTGGACAAGAAGAGGAGTTGCCCTGAAGGTAGTGGAAAGCTTCGCTGATTCTAGAAGAGAAAGCAATATCCTGGCTTCAGGGATTCCTGGAGGGAGCGAAGAGAACTTTGAGAACAATAGAATGGAAGTGTAGTCTTGTGGAAGAAGGAAGAAGGTATGCTGCTGAAAGAAGAGAAAACAAAAAAGGAAGATTTGTGGGTATATACGAATATTATGGAGATGGTATGAAACAGTTCACTTGCTTCCCTGAAGGGAGAGAAGCATCGGGTTGGGAAAAACAAATACAAGCAATGCAGGATTTTCTGGTGTTAGTATATGAAAGACGAAGTTCTCCAATCAGAAAGGAAGAGGGTCAGAAGAATCTTGAAGAGAAGATGGAATTAACAGACTGGAAGGAAACACAAAATAAGGGAACCAATACAGATAAGGATGTTCAGATTGATTAAAGATTAGGGTCAATGAGAATGTGGATCAATAAAGCCAAAACAGAATGGGAGAACAAATTAGTATTATCCATGAGTAAGGATGTTACAGATTGGAAAACCCTGGGTGAAGAGATTCAACAAATTTTGAAGGTATCAGAAATGCTGCAGATTATTCCTATTGATGGGCAGAAGGCTGTGATTTTCTGTGAAAATCCCTGGCCAGACTTTGAAGCTGTGTCGGCAGTAACAAAGCAAGGAATGGCAGTGGTAGGAAGATGGTCCCCAAGTTGTAATGAGAAAACAGTAAACCCAACAGAAAGCATTGAGATGAGAAATCTGGGGCTGCCTTATCATCTATGGTCGGATGAGGTTTTTAACAGAATTGCAAAGTTGTCTGGTGGGGAACTCTCAACTGTGGATGCCTCAGATCTCCGAGCTGTGCATATAGAGGTGAATGGAGCAAAGCCAGAACTCATCCCACATTCTGTAGATGTTTCCTCAGATGGTCAAATGTTCAAAGCCTGGATAGCCTCCTCTGTGGAAGCTCAATGGTGGAAGGAAGGAAGGACTGGAGAAGATGAAGCTGGCGTGGCCAAAATCTGGTCTCGAGGAAACCTTGGAAAGAGAGAACAGAGAAAATTAGGAAGTTTCATGAATAAGGAAACTGAAAAGACTGAGAATTGAAAGGTGTAAATCAAGCTACCTCTCAGTGTGGTAATTCGAAGCAGCAGGTCGGAATTTCAACGGGCAGGTGCAAAACCTTCGGTCAGGCTTTAATGAAATCAAAAGGTGGAGGTGTGGCAGGTTCAAATTCAAACAAAGGACCAGGGGTGGGGACAAATGGGAGAGAAGTAACTCCTGGTGGGCCTTCAAATGGTTTGGCCCAGTCACGAGAAAAACTAAATAGACACGTGACTTTAGTAGATAATGGGGCGCTGCTGGGCTGATTAGGCCTGGCCCATTAAAAAGGAAGTCATGTGATCACTTAAGTGATCACGTGACTATAACAAGAGGTCGAATTTTGGGGGACCATTGTTTGGGTGTATCATCATCCCAAACTGAAGTTGCGGTGGCGATTTCTTTCTCCAAACACAATTCTCCAGCTGCAGGTTCGATGAGAAGCTCTAGTTTGGGGCTTGCTTGGGTGCCGAGACTGGTTTCCTACTCTACTAGTCCAGAGAAGCTGAATCCAAGGTACAATAGAACAAAGAACAGAGATGAAACATTAGATTCAGGGCGGATCTTTAGAGGACAGTATGGAAGGAGAGAATTCTGAAGGTTTTAGCCTTGGAAGTATTCAAAGTAAGTGCCACTCTCGACTTGGGGAAGAAGCGGAAGAAGGCTTGAAACTACTGTTTGATGACGATCTCTCTACTACACTTCCTAGACTCTCAGTCCAGTCCGACAAAGGGGAAGGAAGATTAGGCACCACCTCGGGGGAAGTAAAATCTAAGACAAAAAATAGCGGAGATCTATGTTCAGAACAAGACCAAATACAGGATATTAGTAGGGGCTGTAAAGTCAACCCAGAAACTCTTAGTAGAGCTATAAACTGCCCTGTTCCCACGGCTAACTATCTAGAGGGTGATTCTGAAGGTAACACCTCTGACTTTAGCCCAAATATTGGGGTTAAAGGGTCGCCAAATCCTCCAGTAAATCCTACCTGTTTACAAAAGTCTCTTTTGAACCCGATTTTTGTTGCTACTAATGTTTCTTCCAGTCCTGTGTATGTTGTGCCTACAGGGGAGACTAACCCAACCTTGCAGTCTGCCAATCAAAATGATCAAATGCAGGGAACAGAGGTGATTGGAGATTTATTTTCAGAAACTGTAGACATGGAAATCGGGGATAGAATTTGGGAGATGATTATGGAACTGTTTAGAATTCAGGTGGAGGAAAAGAGATGGCTGAACAGATTGAAAGGGATGAGGAGGGTAACACTCCTAATCCTATTGTTGGAGAGGAAGTAAAGGGTGATGGTAGATTAAATGCAGAAGCTGGTTCAAAAAAACAAATGGGGAAAACAAGGAAAAAGGGTCCAAATAGAAAGAAAGAGGGGAAAGAGAAGCTAGAGGAGCCTAGGTCTAAAGGAGCTGGTGTAAAAAGCAGAGAAATGAGGGGGAAAAGCTAAAATGTTAGATGGATTATGATAAAGGGGGTGTTTGAAAAAGGAAAAGAAGAAGCGGTGAGTGGTTTGTTTGGTTAAGGGGTATTTTGTCACGGTCTCCACGAAATTGATAAGCTGGAATGTAATAAGAGAGGGTTAGGAAGCTCAAGAAAAAGAGGAGTGATTAAGGATCTGTTGAGAAGAGAAAAACCAGATATTATGTTGATTCAAGAATCTAAGTTGTCTGAGTTAGATAGGAATTGAGTAAGAAATATTTGGTCAGTGAGAGACATAAGTTGGGCATACGCACAATCTTGGGGAGCTTCAAGGGGAATTATAACTTTGTGGAAAAATGCTGAGATGGAGTGTACTGAGGAGTTAATTGGGAAGTATTCAGTGTCCATTAAGTTGAAGAGGAGGATGGATGACTGGGAATGGGTTTTAACTAATGTGTATGGACCCACCTCTTATAAGGAAAGGGAGGGACTTTGGGAGGAGTTAGCAGCAGTGAGAGGTCTATGGGAGGGCCCCTGGTGTTTGGGAGGAGACTTCAATGTCATAAGATTTTTAAGTGAATCAAACAACCCAAATCACCGGGTTACAATGAGTATGAGGAAGTTTAACCTCTTCATAGAGACCTTTGAGTTGCGGGATTTACCTATTCAGAGGGAAAATTATACTTGGTCAAATTTTCAAGAGGTTCCCACTTGTTGTAAGTTAGACAGATTCCTATTCACAACTGATTGGGAAGTGGCTTGGCGGGGATTAGTAGTTACAGCACTGCCAAGACCTGTTTCAGACCATTGCCCAATAAGTTTGACCCAAGAGAGATTGGGGGGTGGCCCCTGCCCTTTTAGATTTGAGAATATGTGGCTTCTGCACCCTGAATTCTTGCCAAAGGTGAAGGAGTGGTGGGAGAAAGATCAAGTGGATTTCAGATGGAAGGGTTATAGATTCTATAAGAAATTGCAATTGCTGAAGGCAAGAATTAAGTTGTGGAATAAAGAGAGTTTTGGAAAGACTGAAGAAAGAAAACAGGAAATTCTCAGTAGAATAGAGGAGCTAGATGGTGAGGAAGCTAAGAGAAGTTTGAGTTCAGAAGAGAGGAAAGAGAGATGGGGGTTAAAGAAGGACCTGGAAGACATTCTAAGAAAAGAGGAGGTTACTTGGAGACAAAAATCTAGATGTCAATGGTACAGGGAAGGGGATGGCAATACCAGTTTTTTCCATATGTTGGCAAATGGTAGAAAGAGGAAAAACTCAGTGTTGAAATTGGAATGGAATGGGCAAGTATTGACAAGAGATAAGGACATAGCCCAAGCTTTGTGAATCACTTCAAAACACTCTATGAGGGTCCAAGGAGGTCAAGAGAAAACTTAGAGGGCCTGGACTGGAGGGTTGGGAATAGAGAGTTGTTGGATTCCTTGGAAAGGAAATTTGAGGTTCGGGAAGTGAAAAATGCAGTCTTCTCGATGGAGAGATCTAAAGCCCCAAGACCTGATGATTTTACGATGGCTTTCTATCAAGATTGTTGGGAAATAATTGAGAGTGACTTGATGGAGGTGTTTGATGAGCTCTATGAGAGGGGCAAATTTAACTCAGGTGCAAATGAAACCTTCATCACTTTGATACCAAAGAAAGTGGATGCAATCCAACCGAAGGATTTTAGGCCCATAAGTCTAATAGGAAGCATGCACAAAATCATTTCCAAGGTTTTAGCCCTAAGAATAAAATATGTTCTTCCCTTGTTGATTTCTCCAAATCAAGGGGCTTGTGTGTTTGGGAGACAAATAATAGATCAAATTCTCATTGCCAATGAATGTGTAGAGTTTAGAAGAAGGAAAAAACAAAAGGGACTAGTTTGCAAGTTGGACTTAGAGAAAGCTTATGACATGATGGATTGGGAGTTTCTGTTGGAAATTCTTAAGAGTAGAGGTTTCGGAGAGAGATGGTGTAAATGGGTGAAGGGTGCATTTCTTCATGTCATTTTTCAATTCTGGTAAATGGAGTAGAAAAAGATTTTTTTCCTACCAAAAGGGGCCTAAAACAAGGAGATCCTTTATCTCCCTTCCTTTTTACTCTGGTAGCTGATGTGTTGAGTGAGTTGATCATAAGGGCAGATGCCAACAACGTGGTTAGAGGTTGGAGAGTTGGAAGGGATGAAGTGGTGGTTACACACCTACAATTTGCAGATGATATTATTTTGTTTTGTGAAGGGAAAACAGAAGAACTCATGAACCTAAAAAGGATAGTCCATAAATTTGAGAGGATCTCCAACCTTAAGATTAATTGGGGCAAGAGTTGTGTGGCAAGAGTAAATTTAGGGAGTGAAGAGGTGATTCGACTAGCTGGACTATTGGGGTGTGAAGTAGGGGATTAGCCATTACAATATTTGGGACTACCTTTGGGAAGAAATCCTAATATGGATAGTTTCTGGTATCCAACGATTGAGAAATTTACAAAGAGACTTGCGAATTGGAAGAGAAACTACATTTCTTTGGGAGGTAGGATAACCCTAATAAAGTCAACTTTGGCTAACTTACCAGTGTACTTCCTATCTACCTTTAGGATACCGGTGAAAGTGGCAAACCAGCTAGAGAAGATTATGAGGAACTTCCTTTGGGAGCCAGGAGACACCAAAAGACCACCTAGTGAAGTGGGAGGTGGTTTCTAGAAGTAAAGATGAAGGGGGCCTAGGAATAGGAAATATTAGGCTAAGAAACACAGCATTATTGTGGAAATGGTTATGGAGATTGCCATTGGAACAGGACAGACTTTGGCATAGAGTGATTATTAGCATTCATGGATTGGCAGACAATGGTTGGGATGCAAGAGTCGACCCCAGGGCTTCCCGATGCTCTCCCTAGAAAGCTATTCATGGTATTTTACCTTCATTCCTTCCTTACATCAAATTTGATACTTGTGCAGGAAATAAAGTGTTGTTTTGGGAAGATGCTTGGGTTGGAGACATTCCCCTTAATGAAAGGTTCCCTTCTATTTATTCACTTTCTGGAAATAAAAGAAAAGTGATCTCTTCAGTTTTTACTGATAACTCTTGGGACTTGGGTTTGAGGAGAGGTCTAAGGGAGTTGGAAATGGCAATGGTGGATGAAAACCTTCTAGGGTTAACCTACCTGGATCAATCTTGTTTGGACAGTAGAATTTGGAAACCTTCCCCATCTGGCATGTTCACTTGTTCCTCTTTTTTTTATGTCCTCGTTCAATCATCAAACCCTATAAGGAGCTTTCCTTCAAAGGAGATTTGGTGTCAGCCTGTACCCCCAAAAATTCGGGCTTTTTGTTGGGAGGTGGTTCTCCAAAAAATCAATACTCTAGATATGTTGCGAAGAAAAAGGCCAAATGTATGCCTATCACCCCATGTTTGTAGCCTAAGTTTGGAATCTGGTGAGACGATCACACACCTATTAATTTCTTATTCATTTGTGTGCTTTATTTGGGCCTGGTTCTCTTCTATCTTTGGTTGTAGGTGGACACCTCCCCCAGATGTGGCAAGCCTTTTTGACCCAAGCTTTTTTAGGCAACCGAAGAGACATGCAAGATTAATGTGGAGAGCCACAAGAGCAGCTATCTTATGCTCAGTTTGGGAAGAAAGGAACAATAGAATCTTTAAAGGAGTGGAGAAATCCAAGGAGGCAATTGTAGAAAGGATAATTATTATGACTATTCAATGGTTGAAAACTTTGGATTTGTTTAAAGACTTCTCAGTTGAAGACATTTATAGGAATTGGGAAGTAGTGGCATCTACAACTTCCATGAAACCTATTGTGCAGGAATTGTGGTCCCCACCAACACAACAAAGAGTGAAATCGAACTTCGATGGGAGTTCTAAAGATAACCCGGGCCCTTCAGGTATAGGAGGAGTATTCAGAGATGAAAATGGCAGAATTATGACTTTGTTTTCAGGACCAATAGGAGTGGGGGACTCATTGAGAGCGGAGGTGATGGCCTTGCTTCAAGGTGTAAGATAGAGGGAGACTCTAAATTGTTGATTGAGTGGCTGCAATCTAGTAAGTTGGGAGCCTGGATTTATAGACAGTCCATAAAGGAAATCCTCAACATAACAAGGGAGATCGTGCATGCTTCAAAGGGACAAGGAGATCAGCTAATGGTTTAGCTGACACATTGGCTAAACAAGGGACTGTGAGGAAGAGAATGTTCTGGGCAGTTTTGTAAGAAAGATTACTGGGGGCCCAACACCTACTTAGGGGTTGACAGCTGTACTTAAATCTGGAAAGTTATTATTAAGTTATATTAATGAAGTTATTGTTTCCAATCAAAAAAAAACTGAAAATTGACCAACTTATCTTCTCTGAACCATGGTTTGCAATATCAACGATATTTAGCAAAAGCTCCCTCATGAGAAAGTTTCTACAGACATGACATGTCATGTCATGGATAAAAGACAAGCTGTCTATAGACAACCAAAGAGGTCACTTAATGAGTTGGTCACGTCATGTCATGTCCTGTTTCACTATTATATCTGGTTGGCTGCATGTCAACATCATGCTATGACAGAATTCATGTAGCTAACCAAATTTTGGGACATGACATGTCATGGTTAAAAGGCGACTGTTGATATTTAGCAATATCAATGATATCCACAGCTTCCCTCATGAGCAAGTTTCTTAGATTGGTGCAATCATTAGTTGTCTATAGACATGACATGATCAAACCAACTCAGTCAACTTTTCCTCATTTTGCCAATAAGTGGAGCTACTCCTATAGTCTTGCCACTCATCCATCTCAACATCCTCATTCCAGCTACACTAATTTTTTGAAAAATAAAGTAGAATAGTTAAACAGGATTCATGCCAACCAGACATAATAGGAACAAAGCATAATTGAATTGGTCCTTGATCGCTCAGCACTCTGCCCCATGGTACACACCATTCATCCTCATCTCAACACTCATTCATTTTAGTCTCGGTGGTATGTGTTAGTCACACCGAACATTGATGCATCTCTCCACTCCAACTACCCTGCTCTAATTCTATGGGCAACATCCTCTTTATTCTCTCTCTCCCGTTATGGATGATTGACCCAAATTACAGAGTAGTTAGTTTGAGCTTCAAGGTATTCCCTGATCACCAACCTTAATAGCAAAACCACTGTTACTAGTATTTTCACCGGAATTGCAATACATGTATTCTATTTTAGTCAGATGTACAACCTTTTGATTTGAGAGCATCTCTCCATTGTTCTAACTTTGCATTCAGCCTATCTTTAGTTTATCAGTTCTAAATATTTATTAAATAGATTTCCTTACATTTGAGTTTGCATATCTCAACTTAGAAGTGAAACACCATTCAAATGGAAGAACAATATCACAAGACTTGCCACATACAAACAAGAAAACGGCCTAAGTTATAGAATGGCGGCATTGGGGAAGGTCGGATGATAAGGGAATATAGTTAACCTTCTTACTTCATAGTTACAAGAATAATTCAATCAGAAGCAAAATCATTTATAGTAATTGGTATTCTGAAATGGGAAACAAACAAGACAATGTAGGTCCAAGCGTGGGCACTCACTCTTTCCGCCTCCAGGTGCTGAGCTTCCCATCAAAGTGAGCACAGTAAAGCCAATCATTGTCTGGATCCGGCAAGACATCAAGAAACTTGCCGCATTTGCGAGGCAGAGCAGCAGATGATAAAGAAGTCTCGTACTGCAAATCAAATACTATCAACTCTTTGGGGAAACTAACAAACAAAATGTGCCTCCAATGCGGTGAAAACGAGAACCTCACGCGAAATAGAGGAAACACTGCAAGCGCAGGAGAAGTTGTTGTCGAATTAGCACCCCCATCTTTTTCAACCTTGTGCAATTCACTGAAGTCAGTAGCAGTCGGGACCTTAAGTTCCTTAATTACTATGTCGCCCTCCTCATCTCCATGGACCATAACAGATAGAAGAAATCCCTTCAGACCCAACGCACAGAAATGCCTAAAATCAAAAGGATCGCGCTGAATGCAGGAGAAGAATTCAGGGGAGGCGTCGTATTTCCATATACAGCGGCCGGTAGACGTGTTCCATAGAGAAAGAAGAGAGAGACCACTAATGGAGGCGAGAATCCAAGAGTCAGCTTTGGCACGAATCCAATAGATATCCTGAATTCCGAGTTTAGATTTATCGGAAGAAGAAAACGATGAAGGAGGATCGAATTCCATCCAGACGAGGACCTGCCGGAGACGGAAGTCCCAGATAGCAATACGGCCTTGTCGGTCACCGACGGCGATGAGGAGGTGAGAATTGGAAGGTTCCTGGGTGAGGAGGTCGCGGCGGAGGGGTTGCGGGGTCCAGCGGACGGAGGTGACGAAGGGGGCGAGGGCAATAGGGGAGGTAGAAGGAGCGGGCATAGGGAGAACAGAGACAAGTTGCATGGTCCGGGAGTCGACGATGGCGACGCTGCTGCCGGCGCCGTAAGCAAGAAGGCCGCTGGTGCTACAGTCTGCAGATCCACCGTTGTTTCGGCTGGGTGGGCCTGGGAGCATGTAGCCACATGTGTCCTGAGGCAGGCGAGTGACGGCGACGGACATTATTGCCGGAGCAGGAAGGGAAGGGAAGAGAGAAAGGTGGGAGATCCAGTTGGACTACGATGGGAAGACTAAAGACGACTCAGCTCAGCTGTCCGTGCTGCTGCAAGCTGCAACCCTGCTGACTTGCTCTGTGTCTTGCTTATTACCCGCCTTTTCCTGGATGTTAGTCAATTGGTCCGGTCCGCATCTGCTGCACTTAATTTGCTGAAAATTTTACTGTATAACCAATCAGAAACAAACACGTCAGCTAACGGGTCTGTATTTTTATTTCAAAATTAAGAAAAATCCAATCAGAAAAGGGAACAAAATTACAAAAAAAAAGGTTATGGAGCCCGTTAACGTGACGTGCCTTCGATGATCTGGACGTGCTTTGTAGCTGATTGGTAATATAACCAACGTGTTCAGCGAAATAAGTGGTGTGGTAATTACGTGCTTGCAAGTTTTGAGTTGTAACCTTCCCTCTTCGTCTCCATGTGATCGGACACTAGAGGAGAGGCGATCTAGGGCATGCTAGGGTGGTTAATGACGGTTATGATCCTAATTAGGACTTTTAAATGGATTGGATTCGAATCGGATTCAGCAAAATCCGAATCTAAATCCTATTAATGAAAATTGATGCAATCTGATTATTGGATTTTGAAGAACTCAGATCGAATTCGAATCCCATTGGGCTAGATTGGGTTCGAATTTAATCCATCTCTAAGTCATTTTTTGAAATAAATAAAAATTAAATAAGATAACTACTTTTTAACTAATAAAATAATATAAATATTAAATATTAAATTTATTATATATGTAATATAATATAAATTGCATATTTATAATATATAATTGGACAAATTTATTAAACTATCTTTATGGTTTTGCTAATTGACTAGTTCTACCCTTAATATTTACATATTGTCTTAAAGTACCCCCAAGTTCTACGTTGTCAAGTGCTAACAAAAAAATAAAATGTTAAATTTACCCTTAACTGTTTCTCAAATTTTCAAAATAAAACCCAATGATCAAAATTTTCAAAAACTACTTTCCTCTTTCAATCTTCCTCCTAGCCACTAGATAGTTCTTTGTTGGTAGCATCAACAACTTCCCACCAGGGAAGTGGAATGTAACAATCTAGACTTCGACGCTTGTCTTCAAAGTGTGGATGATATGAAGAAGCTAACTATGCATCTTCAAACCCAATGCACAAAAATGCCTAAAATGAAAAGGATCGTGCTGAATGCAGGAAAAGAATTAAGGGGAGGCGTTGTATTTCCATATACAGCGGCTCGTGGACGTGTTCCATAGAGAAAGAAGAGAGGATCCGTGTTCCATAGACAAAGAGTTTTTTAGTAAAGAAAGGTCTATGTGAGCTTTTTTTACTCAAATTTCTCCAAAAACATTTTCTTCAACCAATCAAATGGTTGGATAAGCCAAAGAGCTCTAGTGGTTGTAGCGACGCCCCAAATTGCCATGGCTTGAATACTAGTTGACCGAGGACGAAATCCAGGTTAAAGAAACTTGAACAGACTTGTTCTTGCTACTAGGGGTGGCCATGAGCCCAGCTTGGTCTAAACTGAGCTTTGAGCCGAACTCAAGCCTAATATATAGGCTCGTTTGCTAATTGAGCCAAGCTCGAGCTTAATAAAGCTCGGCTTGTGAGGCTCACAAGCCTATGTCACCTCGGTTACTAAGGGAGACCTCGGCTCAAAACCTTGGCCACTAAGGGTGACCTCAGCTCGGCACCTTGGCAACTAAGGGAGACCTCAACTCAACACCTCAACTGCTAAGAAAACCTCAGCTCAGCACTTCAGTAGTTAAGGGAGACCTCGACTTGGCACCTCGACAACTGAGGGAGACCTCAACACGGCACTTCAGCAACTAAGGGAGACCTGCAATCAAAGGTAGCCGAGTTCAAGCCGAGCCAAGGTCGAACTTCCGAGTTTTTTACTCGAGTCGAGCTCGAGCCCAAGTCTCTAATTCAATTTGAGCTCGAGCCTAATAGTTTATGAGCGAGCCAAGCTTGAATAGCTAGATATTCGGCTCAGCTTGGCTCGAATCCACCCCTACTTGCTGCCATTCTCGCTTTGCAGACTAAGAAAATGTTGTGCCTACACGAGCTTAAAGAAAAAGGGGAAAACACGAACAAATCTGATGGGATTTGTTTTAGAAACTCACTCTACTCGAACACCTACAAATCTTTTCAGTTGCCATATCTGATGAGATTTCTTCAAGTCCATGATGGCAACAACAACGACGACGATGATTAAGATTTGATGAATGGGGCTAAAGTGTTTCCTATGCAACAACTTCTTCTCAGCTAAAGTCTCCCCCAACTACTTTAACCGAGCTACATTCCTCCTCTCCAACAAGATGCCCTTGGAGGGATACCCAATAATATGGCCTTGGCAGTCATCGACAACGATAAGAAGGTGAGAATTGGAAGGTTCTTGGGTGAGGAGGTCGCAACTAAGGGAATGCAAGGTCTAATGAACGGAGGTGACGAAAGGGGTGAGAGTGATAAGGGATGTTAGTGCACCAGTCCAAGAGGATTCTCATTGTTGAAGATAAGACTTAAACTATGTAAATCCTAGATAAGACAGGACTGTAATTCTAGATAAGCCAAAATTTGTAACTATTCTTGTATAAATCAAACTCCTAGTAATCATGTACAATTACAACTCTCAATGTATATATTGAATACATGACAACAATAAGATCATCAACCTTTACTATAGAAACATTCTCTTCCTCATCTCTCTCTTCTCTCTGTTTGTCTTGTTTACATCTAACCGCACATTCTCTCTCTCTTCTCGTTTGTTTACATCTCATCGCACATTCTCTCTCTCCTTTGTTTGTCCTATTTACTTCTAATCACACATGGTATCAGAGCCAAGGCGACAAAAAAGATCCTCAACCAACATTCCATCGACAGCCATCTCTTCCAATACATTAACCAAAATAGCAATCCAAATGCAGTGCAATGCCAACTCTGCAATAAGCTCTATCACAATGCTCTATAGTGTTATCATCGCTTTGATGTTTTCTTCACTGGTGAACAACCATCTATCCCGGCTCATGCTTTTCAAGCAAGTAGCTCTCAATCCTCCACCGATTCAGCATGGTATTTGGACTTTGGAGCCTCTCATCATGTCATAGCCGATTTGAACAACCTATAGAGCAGATCTGAATATACTGGGGCTGATCAAATTCGTATTGGTAATGGTATAGGTTTGGCTATTTCTCATATCGGTGACTCTTCTTTCTCTATCAATAATAGGCTCGTTCATCTTATCAATATTCTTCATGTTCCTAATATTACCAAAAACCTTCTATTAGTCAGAAAGTTTGCTAAAGACAATAACTGCTATTTTGAATTTCACCCTTCCTTTTTCTTGGTGAACCAACATCTTTTTCTCAAGTGAATAAACAAGTTGAGTGGCGCAGAGCTATGTGTGAGGAGTTTGATGCCCTCATGGAAAACGGTACTTGGACTCTCGTACCATATGAGTTCCATATGAATGTTATTTGCTCCAAGTGGGTTTTTCAAATTAAGCAAAATTCTGATGGCTCCATTCAACGTTACAAAGCAAGGTTGGTCGCTCAGGGGTTCTCTCAACAACCTAGCATTAATGTCGGGGATACCTTTAGCCCGGTTGTAAAATCAGCCATTATCATAACTATTATTAGAATTTCTCTAAATAGGGGCTGGTGGATTCGACAATTTGATGTTAGTAATGCTTTCTTGCATGGTGATTTACATGAAACTGTTTATATGCACCAACATCAAGGCTTTGAGGATTTGCAATACCCATCTCATGTTTGTATGCTATAGAAGGCTCTTTATGGTTTGAAACAAGCACCCCGTGCTTGGTTCTCTAAGCTAAGCTCCAAATTGGTTGAGTTCGGTTTTATGGCCTCTAACTCTAATTCTTCTCTCTTTATTTATAGTCACGATGGCATTCTTATATATTTGCTTGTTTATGTTGATGACTTGTTGCTCATTGGAAATGACAAATACACTCTCTCATTAGTCATAAATCACCTTGCCTCCTCCTTTGCGATCAAATATCTTGGGACACTCCATCACTTTCTTGGCATAGAGGTTCACTCCACCTCCTCAGGATTGCAACTCTCATAGTGCAAATGCATACTTGACATTCTTCATAGGTGTCATCTTGCAGATTCAAAACCAATTGCTACACCTCTCCCTACACATTCTTCCCCTTCCAAGTATGAAGGGCAGCTTCTCGAAGATCCCTCTGAGTATTGTAGCATTGTCGGCTCTCTATAGTATGTTACCATTACCAAGCCAGATATTGCATCCAGTGTGAACAAAGCATGTCAATTCCTTCAATAGACCACTGATGTTCATTGGAGTTTTGTTAAACACATTCTTCGTTATTTAAAAGGCTCAATTGATCACTCTCTATCTTTCACTTCCACCGGTAACCTATCCATTCATGGGTACTGTGGTGCTGATTGGACCGGTTGTCCAGATGACTGAAAATCAACTAGAGGAATGGCTGTTTTCTTGGCAAAAATTTAATTAGTTGGAGGGCTCATAAACAAGCCACTATTGCTCACTCCAGCATAGAGGTTGAATTCTGTGCTCTCGCTGATCTTACAGCTGAAGCCATCTGGCTCACATCTCTGCTAAAAGAATTACACATACCTATTTCCTCCCCACCCTTGCTTTGGTGCGATAACGTTTGAGCAACCTATCTTGTTGCAAATTCAATTTATCATGACCGTACAAAACATATGGAGGTGGATTATCACTTCATCAGGGATCGAGTCACCAGTGGAGCATTGGTAGTTCGACATCTTTCTTCTACAGATCAGTTGGTTGCCATCCCCACCAAAGGGTTTCATCGAACTCGATTTCTAGAATTACATAGCAAATTCAACGTTGTTCCCTTGTCGCTGAGTTTGAGGGGGCATGTTAGTGCACCAGTCCAAGCGGACTCTCGTTGTTGTGAAGATAAGACTTAAACTATGTAAATCCTAGATAAGATAGGACTGTAATTCTAGATAAGCCCGAACTTGTAGCTATTCTTGTATAAATCAAACTCCTAGTAATCATGTAGAATCACAATTCTCAATGTATATATATTGAATACATAACAACAATAAGATCATCAACCTTTGCTGTAGAAACACCTCTTCTC